TTTCTACGGGATGGGGTCGCTAACCCCATGCACAACCCTCCTCCTTTATCCGGGCTTGGGACCGGCAGTAGCCCCCCGAAAGAGACTCCAGGCGGAGTTTATATAAGTAGCGTATACCACCTAATGAAATAAATCTTTATTTAATTGTTTCTTTTGTAAGTAATTAAATCATTCCACACAAAATGAAATCATAATGAATAAAAAAGAGATTTTTTTCTAATAAAGTCCTTTTTTCAAGTACATTATTTATTTTTAATTCTAAGTATGACAGATTCATTTTGGAAAATGTTGAAAATAAATCCTACACAGCTCTTAATTTAGTTCCAACAGAAAATGATCTTCCACTTTGATTTTGTTGTAATTTTCCTTTTTGTGCTCACTAAACAAACACACATTGAGATATATTCTAACATCATTTTCATTTATTCCCTATAAAGATTGTTGTGATTTTAAGTAGTAAAAATATTAGTAACAACACAAAAAAATTAATAAAATATTATTTTTTAAGTAACCCTATGAATATGCTTCAGTGGTCTCACATTATGTTTTTATAACCACTTTTTTAAGAGAAAACCGAATAGAAATATTTCCATTATATATGTATACATATATAACATGTTAATTAATATTTATTCTCACGCAAATGAATCAATGGTCTCTATCTCATTAATTAAGTTAGTAGGTGGGTCTTGATGTATGAAAAAAAGTGTTTTCATGAAAAATATTTCAATTATAAATAAGCTTAGAATAATTCACTTAATTTTATTTTGTAATTAATTTATGTATACATTAATCTAAATAGAAGTTAATTCTCTAATTATCAATATGCTTATAATATTTGAGAAAACAAAAGTACCAAAACAATTTATAATGATTTCAACAATGTGTACATTAGAAAATAAACCTTTATTTGTATTGATACCATGTTGATTATTGTAAAGTTAGTTAGAATATTATTGATTTTATTAATATTACTGTTGAATAATGAGTGGTAATTTTTTGGGATCCATTTGTAAAGCAATACTATACGTATATTTTTGTCGTATAATTGTTAATTAACTAAACTATTCATATTCATGTCTTTTTTATCATATACTTTATTTTAACCTATGAACTGTTATTATACGATTTTCCATTCTTGAATTATTCCCTGTCTATTAATCACTACCTCTTTCATTCACAGCCACTTTTGGCCGAATCTTGTACAAATATTAGTTTCTATTTTATGGTATGTTGTGGGCCGTTTGATTGCTATATAAACCGAGTATGTTTGAAATATATGATTTATATCGTAGAGGCTCAGATTGGTGTTCTGGACTTAACTGGCTGGGCTAGGCGGAAAGCAGGACCAATCAGGACTTTAGGCTGCTCGTACGGGTTTTACGCGTCATTGATTTGATCGATAAGTCATTGCTCTCTAATCGGCGGTCACAAGTTATAACAATTACCTAGACTAGCTTTATTTTTTTATTAGTTATTATCATTAATGTAGTGAAAATATATGTTACCGGATGTAAGAATATCATCTATTTTAATTAATGATAATAGTTCCTTTCATTTTAACTTTGTTGTAAATCTTATATTAGAATTCTAGATTATGTAGTATTAAGGCGATTTTCATTGCATATTAAAATTAACCAAAATATTTTTTTATGATATAAGAGAAGTAAATAGTTTCATCTTTATTCAACTAATATTGGTTAGTGATGAAAATTGCTTTCAAACTATTGGAAAATTCTCAACAAACCTATCACAAGGAATGATGATCATTTGCTTGGGAGTTAATAATTTTGAAAACCTTATTCTATGCACTGAGCGACTCAGTTGTGACAAATTTCTTGGATCTAATGATATTGATCATTAGATTTCAACTATGTGGTTTCAAGTTATTACACTATCATTAAGATCTAGTCGTTCTATGCTTTTTGCTTGTATGGGATCGTGTGTGTAGACTGATGCGAACTTTTGAACTCAAATAAAACGGTTGTCAAACGCTTATTAGTTTTCGGTTATTCACCAAATAATGTTAGTAAATAACATAAATCACGTCAAAAATTTATAAAATTCCTACAAAACCACATCAATAAACAGTATATTAGATTGAGAGGTTCTAGGATATAATTTCTATTAACCAATGCTCCACTAACCAATAAATTATCTTCATTCCGACGAACAACATTCAGTAGTCAAGAGTACTTTGAGCTAAAATGTTTAAAATATGATGTTTTAGAGTTTATCCGGAACAATATTGTATGTTGACCAACATGGAAAGATATATTTTTTGTAAAAGCACTTACTAATACATACCAAATTTTATAATACCGATGTGGTCATAATAATTGGTACCTTCCTGAGTATGCAATGAAAATAATTAAATGATAGTTTAGAATACATTATCTCATCAACCTCACAGTCACTTACATGACAATTGTAAATCTCAACTCCTCGGATGTTGGCCTTTGAATCACATGTTTTAAAGTTGATAAATAATTGTCTACTTCTGATTAAGAAACTGAACAATTACGGTAACTTTGACTAGAAAACGAATTCGAATTTTTCCGAATTACATGAACATTTTGATTTTTATGGTTAGACTTTAGTCGGGAAGGTTTTTTTCTACAGAATGGGGTTACTGGTCACATGCCCAACCCTTCACCTTTACCATGGCTTTGGATAGGCAGTAACCCTGGAAGAGCTACAGGCGCAGTTGATATATTGATAACTTGGAGTGCAATCAAGTTCACTGGTTTCAAAAAATCATTCTCTAAGATACGTACGTATACTCATCTTCAAACCAAATGAAAAGGTATTTACCATAATAATTATTATAAAAATATTTTAACGTACGATATTCAATCATTAATATTATTAACTGACTAATACAAATTGAATGTAATCTATATTTTCTTATTTCTATTATTTCAAAAACTGTCAATCGAAGATTAAATTTGACTATAATTATATCATTAATAAAGGTAAACGTTTGGTTATCAGTTTGGCTCTATGCATGAACTTCTTTATTATGGATTATATGAGAAACTAGAAATCGACGTTACTGTTATATTAAATTATTTCTAAGGTTATCAAGTCGTTCACGATTATGAGAAATAAATGATTTGATCAAGAGACACGTCATTTATGTATCACTGTTACACTATGTATTCATGAATGTCAAAGACAGAATTTTCCATTTTGATTAATGTCACACTTGTGCAGAATTATACAAATGATTAATTTTATATTTTTCTATTACTTGTAAACATTAATCAGTAAATACAAGAGAATACGGTAAATTATAATCTAACTCATCGTACTATAACTCAAATATATGTCAAAATTAGAAATAAGTCGTTGACTGGTTGAAGTCGGACATTAATACCGTTGGATAACGGCTCAGTGGTCTACAGGTTAAGCGTTTGTGCGCGAGACCGAAGAACCTAGGTTTGAGTCCGGCGTGTAGGATAATAGATGCGCACTGCTCACTAGTCTAATACTAGGACTAAATGGCGTCCAGTGCTTCCAGGATTTCAATGATGGTCTAACATTGATCTATTCATTATATTAATCTAAACTCAATAATTTTAACAACCTTATGGTAATAAAATATTCATTATGTTATATTGAATAAAATGACTTCAATTTGTAGGCTAAGAACTAGAAATAAAGTGCAGTGGAATTTCTACTCCAGGAGTGAATTCAAAGTAATTAACTTCAGATTACTGGAAAACTTAGCTAGTATTCTAGTCCTTGATGTTACTTTTGTTTACAATATCTTTAATCTATTGATCATATTGTAACGGAGCTAGAATTATCATGGTGATGTTGCTAACCCGTTCTGTTTTCTTTCTATTTCAGGGCGACCAAACATAAACGCTTTGGAAGCTGAAGAACAAGCCATGAGTGCTCTGAACTTACAGGATGACTTATAAGACTTTGGTACACTAGCCAACCCTTTTCCTGTAAAAACCCCCGCGTAATTTAATTTTAAAAAATAAAGAGTGCCATGACCGTACTTCGTGTTCTTTCTTGGTGTGAAGTGTTGAGCTAACCCGGTGTTGCAATTTTAGATCTGATCCGCTGTTCGTTAACTGCTGATTACCAGCGTTACAATATAATGTAGCAAAAATTTTTTAAATTATTCTATAAGTTCATTAAGTCCTTACACTTTTTTTCGTTTTAATAATATATGGTCTGTTAATTAAAACTTTATTACTGATCACATTTTCCTTCGGCTCTGGCGATCATATGTATATAATTTACTAGATATGAATTGTTGAAATGAAATTTAGGAAACAGTATTGTAGTGTCCGTTATTATGTTAAGCCCATATACCATATTCTAGCTCTCGGACAGCCCAATCTATTCATTCTACTTGAGTCATATTTTGAGATTGTTAGTTATTCGCTTACCAACTTTGACTGTTTTTATATGAACGTATATATGTGTGTACACTTCATATCACATTACTCATCATCATCGTTTCCCCGTTCGCTTGTTTGGATCAACGTTTATACAAAATATATGTGCTCGAAAGTTCATTCTCGTTATTTGACTTACTTAATTCCGTTATTGACTAACGTGATTCAAGTCGATGATTATGTACGAGGATAGGCGACATATATATTTCGACAACGATTATTCATACGATCAAACTGCAGTTAGATCTCGGGCCACTAAAGTGGTGAGCCATTTCGACAACTTCATCCAATCTTAATGACGACAAAATAAAGAGCCCCACAGTATTTTTTGTACATAGTATTAGTTTCTTAGCACTTATGTCAATCATACTTCCTTACTTGTGTTTAAAGCTTAAAACTTTTCTTAAACAGCTATTGAATAAAATAAGAATAGCGTCCATAATAAAGTTATATACTATTTTAAATATTATAAACAACAATTCTATTTATTTTGTGTTTCCTAAACCTTTTTTATTATTTTGTAAGTTTGAATGCTCAATAGTGAATTACGATACTTTTTAAAATTTTCCTTTTCTATCCGTAGGGATGTTTCAAAAAGGACAACCGTTCAATTGAAAATGCCATGTCTTAAAATTTAAGATTATCATTAATTCAAATTCAGTTTTCAACATAAAAACTGAACGATAATTAGCAAGGTGTACTACAGTGATTGAAGTATCAATTAATTGTTTTCTTTAATTAATCCATGACAAAAATACGTCGTTCTTTTGAATATCAGACCATTAACTTATTTTTAATACATTTGATGTTAATAATTTATCTCTTATCTTCGAATATCGGTTTAATGGTTGGTATTTCTGGGTTCAAAAACAATGATAGAACTCCATTATTTATGGAAAATGTGTTACCAAATTATTTGGATTTTCTTCACTGTATCTTCTATCAATCCCATCATAACTATCATGAATATCATTTATGTTGGAATATCTATAGTGATGACTTGAAATCACATCATTTGGATGGGTATTTTGATTATATATACAAACTACATAATTGTTGTAATAAGCCAACCAGTAAGTTACCGATAAATTATTATTTTAGAGTTGCTGACCACTAAGTAACCGAGTTAAAAATAAGTTTTCGAAATTGGTATTTTTGGTTTGGATAACGGTTTGATAGAGTAATAAGTTATGAAACTATATGCATATTGCCAGGATATGTATTGGCAAGTCGCTTGTTTGAACTGTTGCATCTTTGTGGTCATTGAAGGATTAAGAATTAAACGTGTTGAACTATTATAAAGAGAAATAAATTTTCACCAGTTATGACCTCTTAAAAATTTGTTTGCGTGACTTCACTCAAAATCTAACCGCTGATATCAGGATACTTCAAGGGACTTCAAGAAACTGTTGGTCCATATTTATGACTTCATTTGGGACAAAACCTGGTCTACATATAATATCATAAGTAAAACACCAATCCACTTAATTAGTTTTCATTTAAAGCTCGGGAAATCTATTTCGATATCTATCAGTATAAACAAAATTTATACTAATAGAAGTGATCTTAGCACTACGCTAGAGGGTTATACATATAGTCTTGTTTGAGGTCGTGATTATTCACGTATGCGGAGACATTAACTGTGGCAAGAAAGCTGTCCAATACTCTGCAATTTAGATGCACCTTCAAATGACAACGGTTTATGTTGAAAGACAACTCCAAAATACTGGAATCTCCAAGTAAAACCAAATCAGCTTATATATATGATGATGATTTTTGTCTATTGAACTTTTTCAGGTTACTAAATTCAAATTTCAGCGCAACTAGTTAATTTAGTCAATACAAGTGAACAAATAAGATGCTTATTACACTTATTCCACACCAACTACGGATCATCAACTCTATTCTTGGTAAATATATTAAAAATCATTAAATTATTACTGAGTACTCAAAAGATTGTAGTCTATTTTTAGGTGCACTACATTTTACAAATGAATATAACTGATAACTATCACAGAGCTAGTTAATTACTACATTTTCTTACTTTCAATAAATTATTTTGAATAAAGTTTTGTGCCTCTAATATACCCTTTATTAAAACGAGTATGATATCATACCATCTTTTTAAACTGACAAATCAGTGACGTTCACAACATCAGTAGTAGGTTTGGAACAATAATTGACGTATAAAACTAGAAATAAAACTTATTAGATATTCTGATAAATTAAATGTGATGCGTAGAATTTCCAAAACTACATATTAACAAACATAGAGATATACAACAAAAACTAGATCAAATTTCGTCGCTTATTATCATCATTATCGTATTCGTAATGATATATTATAGTCGAACACAAACCTGTTGAATATTTATGACATTTGTGCCAAAAAATATATGACAAGCGTAGATTAATTTTTGAATAACATAACTCTCCTTTCAATAGATGAGAAACATCCATCTCACGTCCTGGAAACGGGGTTATGCTTATCGGATGTTATCAATTACTTTTGTTTGATTTTTCGTCATCTAAAACCATTTGAGTAGTTGATCATAGAATGCAAATATTCAGTGATTCTATTCTTCAAATATTTTTGGATCATTGTATATACAGGAATAAAAGTAATTATCATTCAGATTATTATTGTTATCATTATCACGTTCCAGTAACAAGGAAAGCCGATTGGCTTTTTGAAGTGCAAAGAAAAGAGCCTTTGTAAAGAAATGTAAAGCTGTAAAGAAAAGTTAAAGGACGGAATAGTATATTTTAATTCAATCATGCCATTAAAACAGACAAACAGGTGTACAGTCTGTTTTGTACATGCATGCAGGCAGATTCAATACAGTCTAATTATATGTACGTGAGGAAGATGGGTTCAATCCGGACTGCTGTGGGTGGAGCAGACAAAAACCATACAGTCTATCCCTGATACAGTTGCGTTTACCTACCATATTTGGAAACTTGTATGCATACCAGAAGCACTTCTAGGATAATAATGGATGTGCCAGTGAAGAACAAGGAACTCTCTCTTAAGTATGCTGTATATGTTAAAATGTACTTATCAGTGATACGTACAATCCAGTGATACACACACGGGCATAGATGGGTATGGTCACCAGTACGCATTACATGAAATCATAGAATACATAGACAAGTCTACATATTCCATAAGTACATATGGGCATAGAAGTTTATGCTTGTGAGTATAAGTTACATACATATATAGATGGCACAGACCAAGACCTATATACTCCATTGTAAAGATGAAACCACCCCAGTTCCTAGCGCGGCTTCTATCACTGAATGGATATCAAATATTTGAATCCGTTTGTCAAATCATCATCGACGATATTCTTCCTTACGTTCATGCCACAAACAAGTGCGGTATCAACCTCTGTGCACCAGTTACGGCACAGATTATAGTCCAAGCTCTTACCCACCCTCGCCAAAGCTAATAGCTCTATCTGGAGATAATCTGGACAGAGACCACTTATATATCTCAACATTACTCCCCTTTTCTGTGGATCCATATTAAGACAAAGTTAGAGATTACTTTGATCAACACCCTGTGGTTTTTGTTAGCTCATGCGAAAAAAGTCATCCACTAACTTGAGGACACTAGGTAAAAGTACAAGTTGAACTTTCAGATACATATTCTTTTTATGTGTAAATCGGTTGACGATTTAAGAAAGATAAATTTTTTCAAACTATCAAACTAAAATCATCTTACTCATAATATTTTGTGGTCAACTATTTTACAATAAAAATATATTTGAAAAGACATTATACCACATGAACTTTTTCCCTTATATACAAAAACAGTGTTTGTCATGAAACTTAGTTTTTAAAACCTTTATACTACTAGTATCTAATAATTATATTACTGTTGAATTTCACAAATCGATAATTTTAAATTGGTTTGTAGGTGATGTTGTTAACTAAATAAATAATATATGTGTAATATCCCAACGAGTAGAAAAATTAGATTTTCTGACGTTTCGTGACTTAATGTAAGTCACTTCTTCAGAGAATAAATAACCAAATTAAAACTAATCCAAGTTTAAATAGTACAACGGAACAATAGGAATAATATGTGATCAATCAAAAACAGATCTGAACATTAACTTGGATTAATTTTGATTTGGTTATTTATTCTCTGAAGAAGTGATTTACACTAAGTCACAAAACGTCAGAAAATCTAATCTTTCTACTTATTGGGATATTACAAAATATAATAATTTATTTATAACAATCTGCCCAATGCTCAATTTATTCGAAATTATCAAATCAAATCTTAGTAATGATGTTAACTGTATTTGTGAATAGTACATTTGTATTCCTAGAAATAAACCCTGTATCATTTGAAAATAATCTTTCGAAACAATTAGTGATAACTATTGATTATTTATTATTATTATTATTATTATTATTATTATTATATTATTATTTACCGCCATCATCTATTTTCAGCTAATCATTGTTCAAAAAATTATCAAAAATGGTTATTTAATATTCAAAAACGACAACAAAATCAAATGATTAAAAAAATTACAAATTCAAATAATATTCAACAAAGATTAAAACAGTTTCATAAATTTCATACATTTAAACAAAAATCTTTACAATATTCAAAATTTAATAAAATCAATTATTATAAAAATTTACCATTTTATTTAAAAAATGAAAGTTTTATAAATAATCATAATTTAATTAAAACAAATCAAATCATTTTATCAAAATGGTTAAATCAATTAATCTATTCAAAAAATTTAACGAAAATTATTAATTTAACTGAACAATTTACACATTTAATAATAGATTTAGCATATGAAAGAATTAAACTTATACTTTTATATGAATTTCGTCGTATATTAAAAAATGTATTTGATATAGAATCATTAAATGAAAAATATTATACTAAATCTACTATATCTAAAGAATTATGGAATAATATAATTTATAATAAACTTTATACAGAATATATTTTTAATGAATTAGATGTACCTGTTTTACCAATTAAATCTGAATTAATACAATCAGTTTTTAATGAAATTGATTATAATGGTAAGTAATAAAGTTTATTTTTTTTAGTAATTTAAAAAGAAAATGAATCTAAGATATTTGATCTTCATGAAAGAATTTTGGAGATTTTTCTCAATATAAATTCATATTTACTTCAACTAGATAGTAAGTTAGTGAAATTATTTAGGACATCTTTTTGTTCGCCGTATACATTTACTTACTTATGCCTGTTACTCCCAATGGAGCATAGGCCGCCGACCAGCATTATTTAATCCACCCTGTCTTGGGCATTCCTTTCTAGCTCTATCCAATTTTTGTACATTCTTCTCATGTCTGTCGCCATTTCTCGACGTAATTTGTTTTTGGTCTTCCTCTTCTACTTTGGCTTTGAGGATTTCATGTGAGGGCTAGCCTTGTGACGCAGTTGGGTGATTTCCTCAATGTGTGTCCCATCCACTTCCAGCGCTTATTCCTGATTTCTTCGTCCGCTGGGATCTGGTTTGTTCTCTCCCACAGTAGGTTGTTGCTAATAGTGTCCGGCCAACGGATCGGAAGTATTTTGTGTAGACAACTGTTAATAAACACCTGTATCTTCTGGATGATAGCTTTCGTGGTTTTTCAGGTTTCCGACCCATACAATAGAACTGTCTTGACATTTGTATTGAAAATTCTGACTTTGGTGTTGGTTGCCAATTGTTTAGAGTTCCAGATGTTCTTCAGTTGTAAATATGCTGCTCTTGCTTTGCCGATCCGTGCCTTCACATCTGCATCAGATCTACTGTGCTCATCAATGATGCTGCTCAGATATGTAAACATTTTTACATCTTCCAAATCTTCTCCGTCAAGTGTGGTTCGAATGTTGCATGCTGTGTTGTATCGAAGAATCTTGCTTTTCTCTTTGCGTATGTTGAGACCTACTGTTGCTTAGGCTGCGGCTACACTGGTTGTCTTCTCCTGCATTTGTTGTGGCGTACGCGATAGATCTCTTTATGCACATTACACTTATAAACAATGATATCCCAATTTTTTTATAAAATGAAATTATAAAAATCTGAGTCTAAGACTTGAAAAGATTTTTGTTCTTTCCAAATAGCATCAGGTAATAAATTATTTATTACTAAACTTTAAATATGAGTGAATACTATCTGTGTTAAACAATATAAATGTACAATATAAAAGTACTCTTTGATTTATCATTCTTCTCTAGCAAACAATCAGTAATGTTCAGAGGAACTTCATTCTGCTATTTGATATTACCTTTCAGGAGTATAAATGAGGAAAAATATGCATCTTATGTGTATAGACTTATTCTTCTTAGGATTATTTCATCTGATAATGACTTGTTTACGTTATTTTAACCCAGCAAGCTAAAATATTGTAAATTTCTAGTTGACTGTAATTATGTCCTTCATATATGGAACCAATGAAAAGGAAACTGACCTTACTAACTACACAAACATTAGACATGTAATACTTTGGCGGCCTGCTTTAATATCTGGGCTACCTGTTTCTGACATCAATATATCTCAACAAGATACTTATTTTTTGTTTGTTCTAACACATCATTATGGCCCTTATTTGCATAACCTATTTAGGCGCGTTTATGAAAATTTTATTTTTCTGGTTAGCGTTTTTTTAGCGAGTTAGGTTTCTACGGGATGGGGATGCTAACCCCATGCCCGACCCTGCTCCTTTACCCGGGCTTGGGACCGGCAGTAACTCTGGAAGAGCTACAGGCAGAGGGAAACTACGGCATACGATGGACAGCTCAGAACCAATTAGACGACTTGGACTTCGCAGATGACCTAGCCCTCCTATCGCATACACATGAACAAATGCAGATAAAGACAGCCAGCATAGCAGCAGTCTCTGCATCAGTAGGCCTCAACATACACAAAGGGAAAACCAAGGTCCTCAAACACAACACGGAGAGCAGTAATCCAATCACTCTTGATGGCGAAACTCTGGAAGATGTAGAATCCTTCACATACCTGGGAAGCATCGTCGATAAACAAGAAGGTTCAGATGCAGACGTACAGGCGAGGATTGGCAAAGCTAGAGCGGCATTCCTTCAACTGAAGAACATATGGAACTCAAAACAACTTTCAACCAATATCAAAGTCAGAATCTTCAATACGAACGTCAAGACAGTTCTACTGTACGGAGCTGAAACTTGGAGAACTACAACAACCACCATCAAGAAGGTACAGGTATTTATTAATAGCTGTCTACGCAAGATACTCAACATCAATTGACCGGATACTATCAGCAACAGCCTACTGTGGGAGAGAACCAACCAGCTTCCAGCTGAAGAGGAAATTAGTAAAAGTCGATGGAAATGGATAGGACATACATTGAGGAAATCATCAAACTGCATCACGAGGAAAGCCCTAACTTGGAATCGTGAAGGGAAGCGGAAAAGAGGAAGGCCAAATAGTACATTACGTCGGGAAATAGAAGCAGATATGAAAAAGATGAATAAGAACTGGAAATAGCTTGAAAGGATTGCCCAGGACAGGGTTGGATGGAGAATGCTGGTGAGCGGCCTATGCTCCTTCACGAGGAGCAACACGCGTAAGTAAGTAGTAAGTATGAAAATTTTATAAGCTTTCACCGTACAACATACAAAAAAGTACAATCAGAGACATAGTGTTGGGTCTCAATATGAATTAAAAGTATAATCACTGCTCAGATATTGGTTCCTGAGCTGTTAACATCTAGCTGGTAGTAACTGAATATTTATCGTTAGGATAGACGAAGAAATAAGGAGAGGAAACTTAATGAAATACTTTGCGCTGAGAATTCTATATTATACTAGAAATATGATATTGAATAAAGTCACTAATAATAACGATAATAATAATAATGTTTTCATCACTAATGTCGGGTTTGGAATTCGTTCATTTACAAGTTATTTTGTGGTTTTTAATATTTCCAATACGTTTATAGAAAAATCAAAAGCTTTTGTAGCATGAGGCTGATTTAAATTTAAATTCAGACAACATACTACAGATATATGAAGCGGGATGTATATCCTTGAATTTGTAGAGCATCCAGTTTTCATTGTTCAATTTCTACTCAATATCAAGTATTTTTGGGGAACTTCACGGCTCACTTAGTGAGGAATGCTACATGTGAAAGTATATTCTTTAGTAAGAATCTTATTTCAAGCTCTAACTTTTAACTTATTTATATTCTTCATCCGAGAGGTTTGGACATGCTACGATAGTATTCAAGAAGATTTATGTCGGTGGCTTTAGATGACTGAAATGAAATCCTTAGTAAGAATCATTAACTTACATCCAACACTCACTAACAAAATATACAGAAAGAAATGCTCGAAAATACTATATAATCTACTTTCATTGGATACTGAACAACGGATGGTTAACATCATATAAATATATGTTATCTAATAGTTTCTTCTAAGTAAAAACAAGGTAATATTACCTTTAAATCACATTTAGAATAAGAGATTGCTTATAATGAATCTCAGAAAACAATCTTATAAACGTTTTTTTACAACTGTTAGTTAATTATAGTTCCACATGACTCAATGCAATAATACGTATGAATTATTTGCACTGATGCAATCAATATCCAGTGTAAATTAACTTTAACTTATTTAGATTTATCACAGTGATATAAGCTCAAATTTATTATTTACTTATTCCTTACTTAAAATGCTTCTACAAAACCTTTAAATTGATTAAAGAGTTATAATTAACCATTCAGTAAAACATGTATCATCATTTGTAATCAATCACATTAAAATGAGCAAGAGATCTATGCATATAAAAAAATAAATATCCGTCAATGACTAAAAAGGAATTTATGAGATGGATACCCTAGTTTTAATCTCAGACGCTTATTATCAAATACTATATGCTATAATGCTGTCCAAAGAAGCGCGAAATACATTTGTAGGATGGGAATCTCACGGATCCAGAATCATCAAAGCATCATTCAAAACAAATAAGGAGGGGATCACAATGAATATTATCCAATGCTACGCACCCACCAATGATAGCAACGACGACATTAAAGATCAGTTCTGTGAGAGGCTGCAATCAATCGTAGAGAAGTGCCCAAGAAAGGACCTCACCATGCTGATGGGAGATCTTAACGCCAAAGTCAGAATAGACAACACCGGATATGAAGATATCATGGGACTGCATGGACTGGGAGAGAGGAAATAAAACGGAAAAGATTTGTAAACCTGTGTGCATCCAACAAATTGGCCGTAGGCGGCACAATATTTCCACACAAACGTATACACTAAGCTACATGGATCTCACCGGACCACACCACAAAGAACCAGATAGACCATATTTACATCAATAAAAAGTTCCGAATGACAATGGAATATGTGAGAACTAGGAGAGAAGCGGACATAGCTTCAGATCACCACATAGGTGTAGCCAATTTAAAACTGAAGCTAAAGAAGAATTGTACAACTGGACAAACAGCTCTGCAAAGGTTCAATACAGCCTTCCTTCGACATACTGACAAACTCAATGAATTCAAGATAGCTCTCAACAACAGGTTCCAAGCATTACCGGATCTACTGAAAGAAGAGGAAAATGTTATGGAGGACAACTGAAAAGGTATCAAAGAAGCATTGACTTTAACGTGTCAGGAGGTTTCGGGCCTCAAGATGCACCATCATAAGGAATGGATCTCTATAGAAACACTGGACAGGATCAAAGAAAGGAAGAACAAGAAGACAGCAATTAACAACAGCCGAACACGAGCAGTGAAAGTCCAAGCACAAGCTGAGTACATAGAAGCAAACAAGCAAGTAAAGAAGAGCATTAGAGCCTAAAGCAGAAAAACGTGGAAGAAATTGCTAGAGAAGGGAATATGAAATAACTATATGACACTGTGAAGAAACTATCAGGGAAATGTAGTAAACCAGAGAGACTTATCAAAGACAAAAAAACAAAAGACAATCACGGAGATTCAACAACAGATGTGTAGGGAACTTTGAAGAACTCTTGTATAGGCCGGCTCCAATGGCTCCACTGGACATCGAAGCAGCA